ATTAGTAAAATACAAGTCTTTTATCCGTGTTTCCTGCTGTTTTTCTTTGTTTTCCCTCAGTTTTGGGCTGTTTAACTGCTGTGGACAGCAGTTGTTCTTGAGATTTGTTGCCAAAGTGATTAGGAAATACTTGAAATCAAGTATTTCCTATCACATTATCATTAGGCTTTACACCACATTTATTTTACTTCAAAAAAAAAATCACCTGCATTTATTTTACACTCATTCAAACAACTCTAAATATTTCAATCAGATCGCATTTCTTTTATATTATATTTCATCTTTTTTTACATTCCTTATTTAGTAAAACAAATAGTCTTTAATCAATTCAAAGTACAAGCTTTGGCAGCTAGCATGAAGACAAAAAATTTGAATTCAAGGCTTTCTCACACTATTATATGAGTAAGTTTGATGGTTCTATAATGTTTGGTTGATAGTGTTTTGCACATCTAAGTATGCATTTTTAATAAAGAGGAATATTCTGAAAACAGTCTCGACAAATCGCGTACAATATAAGTCATTTGTTTTGAATTAAATGATTATTATTTATTTGAAGATGAGTAGATATGTTTAGTTAAATTCCTTTCTTTTTATTTATATGCTAAAAATAAAATGATGAGATTTTTTTGGCTTTTAGTTTTGGTTTCTTACCTTCATTTGTATTATACGCTATTTCCACATTTATTTAATTTTGATTTTAAGCCGGGCATAGGAGTGAATCTACTTTAGTTTAGCTTGTGACATGCTAGTGATATTGAGCTTTCCAGGGAAAGTGAAGGTGAATTTCAATATGGAAACTATCGCAAGGAAGCTGATGACTTGCGTGCTGTGGTGCTAAATCTTTCGGAGAAAAAATTCAAAATTTGTGCTATTAGCGGGCATAGTAAAGGTTAGTAGCCAATCACATTGTTGTATCCCACAATATGACTGTAATATATGGCTTTTTTATTATATGTGGAGGATAAGACTTAAAGACAATTAAAACTGGTGATGGAAAGTTTCTAAATGTTTGTTCTTCTTATAATTATTCATATACAATAATTCCACTCATGAAAGGTACATGCTAGTCAATTAATTTGTAAATTAATGTTGTTGCTTTATCCATTTACACTTCTCATTGAAACATATATACAATGAGCTTATAATTCCATAACAGTCTCTACTTTTTTGAAAAGGTTTTGAGATGCCCCTTACAAATTCTATTAACCTTGTCAAATGTCTGGGTTATTAAGGTGACAGTTCATATTCAAATTTTAATTCTTGTTGTTCAATTTTTTCGACAAGAAGCTTCATTATGCTTTAAGCCCATATATTTTTTCTTTAGTCATGGGTGTTCTCACTAGACATTTGTAAGAGGTTGTACCCTTGTGTATGTTTTTTGCTGATGATATTCTTCTTGTTGATAACACTAGAGAGTGAGTTGAAGGTAAACTTGAATTATGGAGCTCAACTTTAAAATCTAAAGATTTTCGTTTGAGTAGATCTAAAACCGAATATATAGTGTAATTTTAGTAGTAATAGATCTAGTGGAGGGATTGTGACTTTGAGCGATCAAGTCGTTAATAAGAGTACACGTTTTAGATATCTTGGAGCTATTGTTCATAGTGATGGTGAAATAGATGAGGATATTATTATTAGAATTCAAGTTGGATGGTTGAAGTGGAGGAATGCATTGGGCCTGTTGTGTGATAGAAAAGTCCCCCTCAAACTTAAAGGGAAAATTCTAGAAGTTGGTAGTGAGATTTGCAATGCTTTATGTTGCAGAATGTTGGCCATAAAAAAAGAAGCATAATATTAAGTTAAGTGTTGCAGAGATGAGGATGCTTAGGTGGATGAGTGGCTTTAATTTTAGAGACAGGATGCAAAATGAACATATACGTGGAAAGGTTGGAGTAGCTCTTGGGGAAGTTAAGATTAGAGAGAGTCGCTTTAGATGGTTTGGTCACATAAAATGACGGCCTTCCGACGATGACCCGGTTAGGAAAAGTAGATGTATTGGATTTGATTTATGTTAAGAATGGTAGAGGTAGACCTAAAAAGCTTGGTTATAAAATATTATAAATGCCTTTTTTTTTTAAATTTAAATGAGAATTAGACTCTTAACATGACACAATGGAGAAAAATGATTCATGTAGTCAACCCCACATAGTGGGATCAAGGCTTGATGTTGTTGTTGCTAAAACTCAAAACAAATTTTATCAAGGTTTATTTATATCTACCGTTGAGACTTCTTATGAATGTTATCCCCCATATTTAATTACCTTACATGATCGCTAGAGATCACTCCTAATTAAGTTACCTTATATAATTGTTATGTTCATATTTGATATTTATGTTTAGATTTAGTTTATAGCGAATGGTCAAGGAAATAGATGTAAACACGATTAAGATCCAATGGTTATGTGAGTCAAACTTAACTTGCAAATACCAGATGTCTTCGACTTGTAATGCCAAAGATACTCGGTTAATAACCATGAGTTACCTCATCCTAGATATCTCGAGTAGATTGGGTGGAATTGTATGTTAAAGATGCACTTTTTTTATTGACTTCAACTTGTCCACTGGCAAGGGCATTGTATATCACCTTGATTAAATGGTTCAAAGGAGTGTAACATTGCAAAGGGCATACGAGATGTACTTTTTAGATATGCTTTTGTATTTGATTTATTACTTCATTTGGAAATTTCGACTTCGAGAGTGAGAGTTGATGGGATTTACTGCCTACAGGTTTTTAATGTGATGGTGGTCCACTAGTGCCTTAATGCAACTGTTAAGGTGATCAAATTTTGTGAATTTAAAAAATATACATATGTATCAAGTTTGATTAGAATCATGAGGTTGATTAGTAATCATGAAGGTTGAACTTGGGTACTTGGCCATTCAATGGGATCAGCCGAGTGGATAATGTATGATGTTGAGTGGCATTGTGAAGCATATTATGTGCATATGATTTTAGAAAATCCTCCTACAAATCTCTTGACTCATTTGGATTATCTAGGTCTCGATTGCCCTTGAAATAGGTTTAATAATTGTTTGAAAACCATGATTGCATTGACAGTTTTTTTTCGCACTTATATGCATATCAATGTACCAGCGCAAAATTGATGTTAGTGGCATTTGAAACATATGGATTTGATAATGCTTGGACCCTTGGACTCTGCATAGGATCAGATGGCGCCGTGACTTGCTTTTTAGATTGTACCAATATGTATCTTGATGGATTGGCATGTATATATCAAAGAGTATTTACGATAATTATTTACCTTGGTTTCTTTTGCACCTCAATCAACATAGCGAGACAATAGCTCAGTATCAAAGAGCTACTAGGAAAATGGTTTGGCCTCTCCTTCCCCATCACACCTTTATGGAACAGCTGGAAACACCAGGATGGAGAAATTTTTTATAACAGGGAAATTATCAGCATTGCTAGAAATTGTCAAAGTAGTTACATTGGGCTGAACTTGGTTTACTAGTGGTTTGGTGGGAATAATGAATATAGAATGCTCACAATCGATCTTGATTACATGTGTGGATGGTTTTTTTTTTCTTTCTATTTGTTGATTTCTCTATTTCTGTTTGTCTAAGCATCCTATTTTCTTCCATTCATGTATGTAGAAAGTCATATTGATTTAGTTTTCTATGTTATTGCCTTCAAAATGCAAGATCATTAATAGTGATGATAATCTAAAACTTGATAACGTCTTGATGAGTTAATTTGATCACTTTTTATGAAGATTTGGCCGTTGATCAAAATTGAAGAAGAAATAGATTACTTTAAATGCCTCTCACTAAAAGTTATACTTCTAAATAAAATTTTTGAAATCATATTTGGTCATTTTTCTTTGCTTTATTAGTAATTTGTATTTAGGAAATATTAAAAAATTGGTATTTAAGAAAATTGAATTAACTTGGACTTCTTTATAGTAAGTCATGTCTCCTTAAGGAGACTTGTGACCTAGATTTTGAATATTATGATTTGATTTATGAATTGAATGAAAATACTGTCTTAGTTCCTAACTTCTTTTCTCTTTCTTTTCCTCTACCCCTCTCATTCGTTCTTCTCTCTCTTCCTTCTACCTTGCTGCTAACCTATGCTTTCCTCTTTCTCTCTGTATTAATTGTGGTATCAGATCTTCATTACAGTTATGTTCCTGATCGTTGTCAGCTTGATTTGTGATCCCATCACGTGCCTGTTTGAAGCCTCACCATTCCTCTGGAGTTACAGTATCTTTTTCAATTGGGTTAATTGCTTCATATGCCTTATTTTTAGTGGAGACGTGGGAATGGAATTTCAGTGACCGGGACTTGCTGTTTTCTCTTCCTGTGGCTGTATAATATAATTTCTGTTTTGCACTGTTGTTGGAACCAGAAACTTCTTATCCACTGGAAATGAGAATTTGAAGGTGTTAACTTGTTTTTTCTGCTTGAGGCCAAAATTTGAAGAAAAAACTAACGTTTTCAACTCTTTTTTAATAAGGATTTCAAAGAATGTAAAATTTAGTCTTTTGCTTAATACACTTTCAAATTTCTTCTCAATTCTTCTATGTTTTTGGATTTGAATTTTTTGATTGCTGTGAAAGACTTGATAAAAAATTATGAAGGAGGCTCTTGTACAAACATGTGATATGGCTATTTTATTTGGTTACTTCTATCCTTAATATTTTTCATCTATATACTATATGATTGACTTTGTGCGTAATTGAGTTTTGTTCATATTTGCTACAATCTAAAATTATTTAGGTGGGTGTGAATTCTATTTTTTACGTGAGTTTTATCCAATCTTAGATTTTTTGCAATTTTTTTTTCTTTTTGCATAAACTTCAAATTATTCTTTGGTTCAATTCTATAATTTTCAAGTTTTAATCTAAAGGGATGGGTATTCACCTAAGTCAAAGTTGTTGGACTTTCAATTTTGATTATTCTCGGGCTTGTTTTATGCCTGACATAAGATCATTGACAAATAAGATAAAGTAAAATTGTATGAAAAATATTTCTTTTCACATAAAAGGATAAGCCTTTGTGTGTTTGTGTGTATGTGTGTGTATTTATATGTATATGTACATATATAATTTATTTATTTTTTGGGGGAAGAGGGGTGGGGGTAGTGTGGAGTGGGCACAATAACACACATTTATATCTTTTGCTTGGTTTTGCGTGCCTTGAAATTTCCTACAAGAATAGCTTCATTAGGTAGAACCTGTCTTTTGGTTGTTTTTTCTTCACCTTTAATTTAGGTTGAAATGAGCATATACGTGAAAAGGTTGGAGTAGCTCTAGTAGAAGATAAGATTAGAGAGAGTCGCCTTAGATGGTTTGGTCACATAAAAAGGCGGCCTTCCGATGATCCGGTTAGGAGAGTAGAGGTATTAGATTTGACTTGTGTTAAGAAAGGTAGGGGTAGACCGTAGACCTAAAAAGATTTGGTTAGAAAATATTAGGAATGACCTCTCTTTATTAGATTTAAACGAGAATTTGACTTTTAATAGAACACAATGGAGAAAAAGGATTCATGTAGCCGACCCCACGTAGTGGGATAAAGGCTTGTTGTTGTTGTTGTTGTTGTTTAATTTAGGTTGAAGCAGTCAAGTAAAGATTGTGTGTTGAATTATAGAATGGTTATGGGGATTGATCCAAGTGTTTACGACTGTCAGGCATGTACTGCATATGTCTTTTTTTTAATATATTCTTGCATTTGGGATATATATGTAGGTGTTGTTACTTGTGTTCAAACACAAGATGGTTTGACCAAGTATTTTCCCATTTATGTTGGATTGCATCAAGGATCAGCTTAAGTCCATGTCTTTTTTGCTTTAATAATGGATTTTCTCACAAGAAATTTGCAAGAGATTGTATCATGGTGTCTGCTTTTTGCCGATGATATTCTTCTTGTTGATAAGACTAGTGAGGGAGTTGAAGTTAAACTTGAATTATGGAGGTCAGCCTTAGAGTTCAAATGTTTTCGCTTGAGTAGATCAAAAACTGAATATATGGAGTGTAATTTTAATAGTAATAGATCTAGTGGAGGGTTTGTGACTTTGAGCGATCAAGTTAAGAGTACACGTTTTAGATATCTTAAGTCTATTGTTCAGAGTGATGGTGAAATAGATGAGGATATTATTAGCAGAATTCAAGTTGGATGGTTGAAGTGGAGGAATGCATCAGACTTATTATGTGATAAAAAAGTCTCCCTTAAACTTAAGGGAAAATTCTATAAGATGGTGGTGAGACCTGCAATGCTTTATGGTGCAGAATGTTTGTCATTAAAAGAGAAGCATAAGTTAAGTGTTGCAGAGATGAGGATGTTAAGGTGGATAAGTGGCTTTACTCTTAGAGATAGGATACGAAATGAGCATATAAATAAAAATTGATGTGGAAATCTGATCATGGAAAGTATATCAGAGACGTGGTCGACGATCTACGGCCACGATCGCGTCGATCTATTTTTGAGTATTCATATGTATTTGTTTTATTTATTTGCTTTATGTGTTTTTTTTTAGTTGCATTTCTCTTTTTTACCATTAAGGGTTTTTTCATGTGTAAGCTCAAAGGGCTATGTCGTCTTTTATTGTCCCTTTCATTGTATGAGACTATGTATACCCTCCTTATATTTCTTTTGAAGGTAATAAATGAATTATAATCAAATTTCTACACATTGAGTTCTTGTGAGAGCTTGAGTCTTTGGAGACAAATCCCTTGGAGAGGGAAGCGGATCACCCACCAACTTTGGAAGAGTCCGGGTTCGTGGTTAGTTTCTTTTATCTCTTCCTCTTCTTTCTCCCTCCCTTCCCTTCCACCCACGGCCCATCCAAAACCCCACCGCCGGCCAAGATCCCTCCCCCACTCCACCTAACCGCTGGCCAAGACCCCTTCCCCACTCCACCTAGCCGCCGACCATTCAAGGTGGTTTCCCCTTGGTTGGTTGATCCACCTAATTCCCCCACCTCCACCTAACCCTAATCCAAACCCTAGCCTAGCCGCCAACCTCTCCCTTCCCCTTTGCCTCCAAATTTTCAAATTCCTCATCATTACTTTCCTTTCCTATAATTTCTCTTTTGGAAAGGTTTTCGATTTCAATTATTTAAATCAAATTTGAATTTTGAAACGTTTCCTAAAATAGAATTCTATTTTTGAAAAGTTTCTAAAATCGAATCCAAATTAAATTTGAATTAGATTGGAATTAAATCCTATTTCTTAATTTGAGAATCTCATTTAAGAAAGTAATAAAATCCTTGCTTAATTTCCCCCTAACCCTCTCCCTATGTCGTCGGCCCCCTCCTTGCCCCACTTGATTACTTTTCAAACTTCAAGCCTCTCTCTTTGGGAATAATTCAAAGCCCCTCCCTCTCTCTTGCCCGCCTCCTCCCTCTTCCCAAATCACCATTAAATCTTTTCCAAATTAAAGGATTAACTAGGGAAATAATTTCTTAATTCCCTCATCCTCCCTCCAAAAATCTTAACCTACTTTTTCCCCCAAGCCCTTCCTTTGGCCAACCAGCCTCTCACCCTTTCTTCCACTTAAATTCTTAAGAGAAACTTCTCGCTCAAAGGGAATCCTTAAAGATAGCAAAGGACATCTTCTACAACACTTCAACACTACGAAATCAATGCATGGTCAATCTTGATCTTAACTCCGGCTTCGTCGACATCCTCCGGTCGCCTTTCTTCAATGTCAATCCGGAAGTAGACAATTTCGTCAAGGAGTACTTGGAGCGTATCATCTTCACCTTATTCGAAGCCATCGAAGAGCAGCTTTCCATCGTTCAGTGACAAATCACCACCGTGCCACGATGAGGGTGAACTTTTCCTCCTCTTCAATTTTCTTCTCCCTAACCTTCTTTCTCTTGTAGGTTGTGAATCAAGCACAAGGAATCGTGCAAAACTATCTGTCAATGCTTAGTAAACGTAGGGCATGAGTTTTGATTTTCTATGCATCTAATCTCATTGTTAACCTAGGGATGCATATGTGATTTGGCCTAAGAGGAGCCACCTCTCTTTTGTTTTCTATTATCGTTAAGTGACTAACATTTTAATCCTTATTTCTCTTATTCAAAACGTGCAAATTCTTATCACATTCATTTAAATCATACCTAGTCCTACATAAAAAATGTTGGAGTAGCTCCAGTGGAAGATAAGATTAGATGGTTTGGTCACATAAAACAATAGCCTTCTGATGACTTGTTTAAGAAAGTATATATATTAGATTTAGCTTATGTTAAGAAAGGTACAGGTAAATCTAAAATGACTTGGTTAGAAAATATTAGAAATTACCTTTTTTTAGATTTAAATGAGAATTTGACTGTTAATAGGTCATAATGGAAAAAAAAGATTCATGTAGCCGATCCCACGTAGTGGGATAAAGGCTTGATGTTTTTGTTGTTGTTTTATCTTTTTGCATTGTAAGCTAGTAGTTTTTTAGACTGCGGAGATGCAATAAACCAAACTGCAATCGTGAATACTGCCATTGGAATTGATTGTTCGTATCTGAAGTCTGAACTGAGTGAGAAATGCTGCAAATTGTCTTTGACTAGGACTTGTAAATTTTCATTTCTAATGAACGTAGTATACATTAAACAAGCAGGAAATCTTCTTATTAGAAGAACCAGATAATCATTTTGTATGATCCTTGTTGTCTATAGTAAGGAAGGTTTTGTATGATCTGACAACTACTTGGATAGGTGCTAGTTCTGATAAATTACCACATAAGTTCTGATTTCATTTGTTTTATGACTAACGCAGTCTTTTAAACATGTAGAGTTAAGTTACCTCCTTTTCATTGGCCACATTATGCATTGCCTTCTATTGCGGCCAAGTTTCTTGAATGTGTATCAGCCTCATTTATTTTTGTTGCAACCTGGCTTTCTAATAACTTACAAAATTGCTGACCAGAACTCCATCAAAAAGTTTCCATTCAATATTGGAAGAATTTTAAGTTTTGAACAGTAGCTAACCAAGTTTCAACAGGCGGAAATGTGGTGCTTCTTTATGCATCTATGCATAATGATGTCCCTGTCATCATTAATCTTTCTGGACGCTTTGCATTGGAAAGAGGCATTGATGGACGCCTGGGGAAAGAATTCATGCAAAGAATAAAGAAAGATGGCTTTATTGATGTCAAGGATAGAACAGGTGAGTTCTCAGAATAATTGCACGAAATGCCTAAATGTCTTTTTTTTTTTAAAGTTAGCATGCAATGAACTTGTCTGTGTGTGAACACGGTATAGTGTTTGAGGCTTGCTGTGAACACGGTAAAGTTAGCATGCAATTTTTTTGTTTTGTGGTTGGTGCTTATATGGTATTGCGCCGGTATTTGCTCTCTTTTTATGTGGGTCAGTGTTTTGCTTGTGGGTGCAATTAGTTCTTTGCATAATCTTCCATGTTGAAGTTTCAAAATTTTCCTGCTTTCTTCCATGGAAATTCATGTGCTGTTGTGTTTTGTTGATGCACGCCCTTTGGGCCAAATTCTTACTTGTGCGTGCAGCTGGTTTATCTGTGTAATCAGGCACATTAAAGTTCAAAGTTTCTTATGCTTTCTTCCATCACAATCAATGTGTTGTGGTATTTTTTGTTGTGTGTGCTTTCTATATATATATATCAAATAATTTTATATTGACTTAATGACTATCATGATAATGATGATGATGATGATGATATGTTGTGTGCGTTTGTGTGCACATTTATATTCAAGGGGCCGAATAAATGACCTCTTTTATTTGGATAGCCATTCACCACACAAATTGATTCTAACTTTATTATTCAATCATGATAATGATGTTACATGATTCAGTAATAAGTCGGATTAAATGTTGTCTGTCCATCATAACTGGTGGTGATCAAGTAAATGATCCTCGACTATTTAACTATGTTCATTTTGGTCTAAAATTTCTCTAACTTATCAAATCAGAATTTTTTCCCTTATCCATCTCAATATTTTGGAATTGACAGAGACAGTTCACAATAGTCTTTTGTTTAGGGCATTATCGATTCTTCAAGCTGAGATGCACTAGAGATCCTCTATAGTTAAGGGAGGTCATTTATAGTGTTAATCTAGCCAGTGAGTAGTTACGAGAGAGCTAGGCATCTTCTACAATAAATGGAGTCGGGGAATAGTGGCAAGAGAGTTAGTGGTTCTCTACGATGATTAGAGAGCTGATGAAAAGTGACAACAAAATTCTTTATAATGACTGAGTTGGGGAATAATGGCTAAAGTATCCGCATAGGGATGATAAAGTTCATAAATAGATACAACACAAAAAACTTTTCTATGGGGCAATCATTCAAGACGAGTGAAATCATCGAGCATCAACATCAATATTTAAAAAAAGTGTAAAAAAGTAATAATAAATATAATCAAAACTTAGGGGTCATTTGTGGTCTCTTTTTTGTTTTTATTTTTTATTAAAATTTTTTTAATGTTTTGATTTAAAATAAAAAAATGTCTGGTATCTTAAATATGCATTTTTTTTATTTTTATTAAATATCATAAAAGTTAATGAAGGTGGTGGTGTTAGGTGGTGATTGCAGTGGGGGGTGGTACGGGTAGTGGCTTCGATGATCGGCAATCATGTGGGCTCTGAAAATTCGGCCCCGGCCTCCCCGCCGCGCTTTTTTTATTTTTCTTTTTATTCGGCAAGGGAGTTTTAACGGAATAAGTTCCGGGGTAAATTTTGGAAGGCAGATGGGTTTGTAGATAAGACACTACCCAGAGATTTCGCCCTCATTTTGCAAGGACTTTATGATCTGAGTTCTGGTTTCCTATAGGTGCAAGCCCCTATAGTTAATTACCCCTCCCTATCACGAGAGAAAACTTTCGATTAAGGCTAGTCGTCAATCAGATACGTATAAAATATGTGTTATCTGGCATATAGTAGCAGCATAGGTATTGAGATTTGGAATGTTTGGAAGAATTTGGAAATTTGATATTTAAAATAGAAATTGCACCATCTTTCACTTAAAGCGGATGGTGGGGGAATGGATGATGGATCTGATCAAGATCCCATGGTTCCGTCATCCCGGGCCATCGTGGTCCCTGGTCTACTTAGTCAGAGGAGGTAGTCGACCCAACATGACAGAAGGATCCTTGTCGGCAGCCATGGGTTGCTTCGTCCAAGAGGACCTTGTAGACCTGGGGTGAATATTTGTTTAAGGGGACAAATTTGAATCCACCTTAGCTTGTAGAGAGCTTTGTGCCCTATCAATCATATCCTATTGATTCATATCTCAAGGATTTGATGCCAATAAGGAACATATTGACGCTGGCCATAACCAATATATGTGGTGCCATTTGGAGGCAAAACCACTCTGTTCAGAGGGCCCCGGGTCATAACCGTTTATCCTGCGGTGCCATTTGGCGGCAAAACCGCCGGTTAGAGGACACACACCACGTCCTTACTGGCAGGAGATTGTTTGAGAATGGATCCTAGTGATATTTTCGACTAGGCATTTGGCTCTATGCGAGCTGAAGTAAATTTCATTTGTCTACCCCGGCAAACTGTTGCGAATGGTGGATGGATTTTGCTTTAAGTGTTTAATGGATTGATTTATTTTTAAACATATGGATTTGGAATGATCTTGGATTTTGGATAGTTTGGAGTTTTGGATTTTAAATGGGCCTTTGGGAGGCATTTTAAAGTATTTGTGAACCCCTCCGGTTGAGATCTTCGTTCAACACGGCCATCATCGGGGTGTACTTGGGGTCATTTCCATTTGATTGAACCTTGACGACCCTATCAACTTACCGATAGGGGATCGGGTTTCTCGTAGGCTTTATGCCTTTGTTCATGAATTTTCTTTGTTGAAAGCCTTGAAGGCCGAATATGAATGTACAAAATAAATATCTGGTCAACTTTCGTGACCACATATTTATCCGATATCTCGAACCCTGTCTACTCCCATTTATCTACTTAGGAGGATCAGGTTTCATAGGCTTCACACCCTTTTGTTTAATGAATTCTCTTAATTATAGGCCTTAAGGGCCTAATATGAATGCAATAAAACAAATATACTCGCCATCGCGGCTGTATACTTGTTTGTTGGTTCGAACCCTGTTGACTTCTATTGACCTGTATAGAAGGATCAGGTTCGAACTTGAATTCACTTATTGACCCGCGTAGCATCCCTAGATATCACGTGTGTACCAATAACACGCTCGCCAGGGCCCATGCGGGTCGGGATTATATTTACCCCTTTAGTGTACCTATGTGTATACAATTTATAGTGTACGTGCATGGATATATTGAAATAATTGTAGTTGTGCAAATAACTACCATTTGGATACACACAACTTTTCATTTCAGAGCTTATACACGCCTTCTGTTTGCTAGTACGAATGTTACGGATCCGGTGGCGTGTGGTCTTGATGTTGACTCCCCCTTTCTCATTCACCTGGGAACGGGACTTTCTGGACCTTGGAGTCAATGATTGTTGATTTGGAAAGAACTCTTTTTAGGCTCTTCGGTGTAGTGGACTTGCTATTTTCCAGTGTCTGTGGATACCAGAACTGTTTTCCTCTCAAGTATGAAACTAAGAAGAGACTTTGAAACACCAGGAAGTTTGGTTCTAATTTGTTCAAACTTCCTTTCTGATCTGCCAGGAGGTGTACTTTTTGTACATCGAGTCGCCCTTGTACCCGAAATACTTGAAGATCTTGATCACCAATGTCGGAGGTGATATCAATACTTGTGTCCACAATGGTTCGTTGTACCTACGATATACCCACTATTGTTATCCACAAGCGACTTGTATATATTTGCGGGGACCCGTCGTATCCCCTACGACCTCCTGAAGGTATTTGTAGAAGACCCATTGTTCTTGTATCACACCCACCTTTCACCAATCTCAGGTGGGTCTTGATTGTACTTGTTTGTAGAGGAATTGTCTTTGATTGCTGGTCTCCAGTATTGCCATCTCAATCAACAGGTATAGTTTGTGAGCAAGTTATATTTGCAACATCGTTGTCCGCTACAAATTATTGTTTACTTGCATCTGATATTTCTCTTTTGATATTTCTTCTTGGAGCTTGATTGTTGTTGATGATAGGGATGCCACCACATTCCTTTATGCCTACTCATTTTGTAGATCATCAATGATATCCGACACTTTACTAGTGTTGCTTGCAAGTCTCCGTTTACATCTTGACATTCATCTATCTAATGTCAAGTTCACATTTAAGTTCTTGAGTTCAGGTTCAAGTATTCATTAATTATTTGAATTCTAAAATATGTCCTCTACAGTCCAACTCAAGCTTTTGTTTTGAGTTCAAAATGACTGAATCATGTTCAAATACATGTTCAGGATCTTCTGAAGTCCTTGCAAGTTCAATCTTTGTATGATCTGACAACTACTTGGATAGGTGCTAGTTCTGATAAATTATCACATAAGTTCTGATTTCATTCGTTTTATGACTAATGCAGTCTTTTAAACATGTAGAGTTAAGTTACCTCCTTTTCATTGACCACATTATGCATTGTCTTCTATTGCGGCCAAGTTTCTTGAATGTGTATCAGCCTCATTTATTTTTGTTGCAACCTGGCTTTCTAATAACTTACAAAATTGCTGACCAGAACTCCATCAAAAAGTTTCCATTCAATATTGGAAGAATTTTAAGTTTTGAACAGTAGCTAACCAAGTTTCAACAGGCGGAAATGTGGTGCTTCTTTATGCATCTATGCATAATGATGTCCCTGTCATCATTAATCTTTCTGGACGCTTCGCATTGGAAAGAGGCATTGATGGACGCCTGGGGAAAGAATTCATGCAAAGAATAAAGAAAGATGGCTTTATTGATGTCAAGGATAGAACAGGTGAGTTCTCAGAATAATTGCTCGAAATGCCTTAATGTCTTTTTTTTTTTTTTTTAAGTTAGCATGCAATGAACTTGTCTGTGTGTGAACACGGTATAGTGTTTGAGGCTTGTGTGTGAACACGGTAAAGTTAGCATGCAATTTTTTTGTTTCGTGGTTGGTGCTTATATGGTATTGCACCGGTACTTGCTCTGTTCTTATGTGGGTCAGTGTTTTGCATGTGGGTGCAATTAGTTCTTTGCATAAACAGTCATGTTGAAGTTTCAAAATTTTCATGCTTTCTTCCATGGAAATTCATGTGCTGTTGTGTTTTGTTGATGCACCCCCTTTGGTGCCAACTTCTTACTTGTGGGTGTACCCCCTTTGGTGCCAACTTCTTACTTGTGGGTGCAGCCGGTTTATCTGTGTAATCAGGCACATTAAAGTTCAAAGTTTCTTATGCTTTCTTCCATCACAATCCATGTGTTGTGGTCTTTTGTTGTGTGTGCTTTCTATCTATATATATCAAATAATTTTATATTGACTTAATGACTATCATGATAATGATGATGATGATATGTTATGTGCGTGTGTGTGCACATATACATACATGGGGCCAAATAAATGACTATTCTTTTATTTGGATAGTCATTCATCACACAAATTGATTCTGACTTTATTATTCAATCATGATAATGATGTTACATGATTCAGTAATAAGTCAGATTAAATGTTGTTTGTCCATCATAACTGGTGGTGATCAAGTAAATGATCCTCGACTATTTAACTATGTTCATTTCGGTCTAAAATTTCTCAAGTTTCAATTTAATCTCTAACTTATCAAATCAGAATTATTTTGTCTTCTGCATCTCAATATTTTGGAATTGACAGAGAGTTCACAATAGTCTTTTGTTTAGGTCATTATCGATTCTTCAAGCTGAGATGCACTAGAGATCCTCTATAGTTAAGAGAGGTCCTTTATAGTGTTGATCTAGCCAGTGAGTAGTTACGAAAGAGCTAAGCATCTTCTACAATAAATGATGGAGTTGGGAAATAGTGGCAAGAGAGTTAGTTGTCCTCTACGATGATGAGAGAATTTATGAAAAGTGACAACAAAATTGACTGAGTTGGGGAATAATGGCAATTGTAACTGCAAAGGGGAAGATAAAGTTCATAAATAGAGACAACACAAAAAACTTTTCTATGGGGCAATCATTCGCGACGAGTAAAATCATCGAGCATCAACATCAATATTTTAAAAAAGGGTAAAATAATAATAATAATAATATGATCGAAATTTAGGGTTCATTTGTGGTCACTTTTTTGTTTTTATTTTTTCTTAATATTTTTTTAATGTTTTGATTTAAAATAAAAATATGTTTGGTATCTTAAATATGCAATATTCTTATTTTTATTAAATATGATAAAAGTGAATGATGAAGGTGGTGGTGTTAGGCGGCGATTGCGGTGGGGGGTGGCACTTATAGCGGCGGCGATAATCGGCGACCATTTTTGGTAGCTGCTACTAGCTAGCCGAGGTGGATGTCTTTTAAAAAAAATGAAAACACATTGAAAACACCTACAAGTTTTAATTACTTTTGAAAAATAAAAGTTGATTTATTTAAAAAAAAAAGCATGAAATTAAGCAAAAACATTAGTGTCATCAAGTCACAAAAGCTGAGTTGTAAGCTAATCTGAGGTAGCAAATTGAGAATCATGTACAAGCTAAACTATGTTGCATGTTAGCACGCATGATTCAACTTATATGAGGAAAAAACTATTTCAAGTTTTAATAAACTTTTCTTATAAGCATGTTTGAGAGGGAATTGCATTGTGCTACTTCTTTGGCGTCAAAGTTGCCATCATATCAAAGTTGCCATCATATCTTTGCAATTGCCAGAGTTAAGCTATTCGGACTGCAATGGGTTAATATGTTGTCCATGAAAATCATGGATAATGGTATAGGAAAGAATTATAAAGTCAACTACAAGCAGTTATTGTGTTGCTTATTCTTATGAAGGTTATAATTTTTTTGGTTTTGTTGAGCATTGTAGAAATATAAATTAGATGCAATAATTTGAATTACATTCATCAATTGGTTTGGTACAAGATAATTTCATTGTAGTATTACATTCATCAATTGGTTTGGTACAAGATAATTTCATTGTAGTTTAGAATTATATAAATTATAGCGGCTTCTTTTTGTAGTAGGATGGTTTTACTAGCTCTTTGAAAGCCAAATAAACCAAAATTATTATAGATCTTAGTCAAAGTTCAAAAATATTTTAATATCTTTTTTCTTCCATTTTTAATGGCTAGATAATGACAAAATAAACATCTTGATACCTTTTGTATGAGATGAAGATGACAAGAGGATGTTGACTACGGACACTAATTGGGAAAAATCAAATGCAAAATGATGTGGATTGCTAATACGCCCTAAATTCTGAGTAGATTGAAGCTTATATGAAGAATAATTTAGCATTTTTGAAGGTCAAATAAAAATTTATAATTTTTTAAGATACTTACTATATGACGTAGTGCAAATCTTTCTTGTTTATCTTCATCTCAAAATTTGGTGAGTGTTGTTCACGCTTTGATGCTCTCACTTGTTTTTTATGAGTACTCTTGGACAATTTTCCCATTGTGAAGGCTCATCTAGCTACAAAGGATCGTTCCATAGAAAGCTCTTTGCATTGTCCCTATTCATTGGTTTTTTAGTCATTGCTCCTATACTATGTTGTCATTATAAAGGATTTTCTACTCTATCATCACTATTCCCGTACTTTCTCTTCACTAAAGAGAATCATTGCCTTGGCTCTTAGCACCTCTTGTCATTGTATTGGATCTCTAGGATATTTCTTAGTTGAAAACATTGATATTCCCTTTGCTGAAGAATCTCTTTGGTTGCTTCAGTCAATTCCAGATAGATGAGATGACTTAAGGACTAGAAACCACAACTTGGCTTGATTATAGTGAGATGTAGGAAAGCCAGGACATACTTCGTAAGGATGTGCTGCGATTTAACTCAATTATGGTGAATAATTTCAAGGAAAGTGTCATCTTAGTATTGTCTGATATCTTAAATAGTCAAATGAGGTGCTTACTAACAGATGTCAACTTTAAATTTCGATCCTGAAGAACTTCCTTTTCCTTTCAATCATCAATAGCTTGTTAGACTAATTAAAGTTAGTTTTTTTCTATCTTATTAAGGCTTTTGTCGCAGGCAAAGTTGAGTTTCGAGTGACTGAAGAGAGCTTAATGGATCGTCTAACCACAGATATGCGTGCAGCATGCCATGCCATTGATAAAGAATGCAGGTTATTCTTCATCAGAAATTTGGTCTTTGTTTAATATGCTCACGCAAACCTTTATAACGCAATTGTTTCACTTTCTACACTTTTATCCGGCACCGATGTGTTGCAAGATAATTTCTTGAAAAGTTATGGGGATGTGGTTTGTTTTTAGGTTTTTTTAATTCCTTCTAACTGGGTTGTTTTGTGTTCCATCATATTTTCCTTTTGCTTTGGTCCTTTGGACATCGAGAATCATTTGTTCTTCTCCTTGCTATTTAACCGTTCAAGTTACGTTGTTTCATGTGACTAAGGCTTCGTTTAGGACGGTTTTTTTACTGCTTCTTGAAAAACAGCTTTTTAGTATAAAAATTAAAATTTTTATATTAGAAAAGTAGTTAAAAAGCCGTTCCAAATGAAGTCTAAGTCTTCGTTTGGGATGACTTTCTTGCTGCTTCTTAAAAGAACTTTTTAGTGCAAAAATTAAAATTTGTGGTAAAAAATTATTTTAAGAAGCAACAAAAAAGCCGTCCCAAATGAAGCCTAAGTTGGCTCTTTATCATGGGACATGCAGCTCCACACTTGTCTATAATGCTTCTTCATTGCTCATTTTCACTATGGCTTTCATATATATACTTGGTAATTTGATTTTTTGGTATGATTTCATAATCATGCAGGGTCTTGACTATACATGGTTCAGCAGATGAAATTGTACCTTCAGAAGATGCCTTTGAGTTTGACAAACTCATACCCAACCACAAGCTTCACATCATTGAAGGTGCTGACCATTGCTATACTGCACACCAAGAACAACTGGCTTCTCTTGTTCTAGACTTCATAAAATCTGCTCAGGTACTCTCATTTAAAGTAACAAGGGAACCTGTATCCTCCAGATTATAAGTCAAAACTCCAAAATCTATCTGTGTGTTGATGTAGCTCGTCTATTATCATATTGACGCAGCTCATTTTGGTCTGATGGTCTTGAGTTCGAGTCTTGTATATGCGATGTGTGTGAATATGATGATGAAGCATTCCTTGTTATAATACCAATTTGAATTACAGGTCGTCGAAGCTACTGCCGCACGAGCGATTTAAGCTATTTCCGAGCTCATTGCTGTTGCCTTATCCTTCAATTTGGCAAGCTGTTTGGCTTCATGTGTAATTTTCCAGTTGTACTGGAAGTAAGAAAAATTTGCTTGTGCCTGTAGTTTTATGGCGACTAATTACAATAACAGACATCCTTTAATATGTTGGCTTTTTTTTTTTCTTTCTTTCTTCTCATTTGGTTGTTGATTATTTTAGTTAAAAAATGAGCTTAAGCTAATTATGTGGAGAAGAGTGTTAAATTTTAGAAATGTTTATTGTTATATCATTATGAAAAATGAATATAAAATGGAATGGTAAGCAACATATTAGTTATATATTTTGTGGTTCAATTATAATTATTATAAATTTAATATAGAAATAAATTATTATTTCAATTTTTTTTCTCATGAAAAATATCTTATTTGTTTGTGATTTTTGGATAAAATACTCGAGTGTATTATTTAGCCAATTTTTTTAAAATGATTTATTTATTTTACAGTAAATGATATTAATAAACTACCCTTGATTTGGAATAATAAAAGTTAGTTAGGAGCTCTTTTAATTAAGTTCTAATTAGAAAAGTTAAATCTTCGTCACATATTATTAAAAAATTATAAGATATTTCATTTAAAAAATTTAAGGTATTCACAAATTAAATATAGAAAATTTTAATAATTAAGTACATGTTTAAGATATGTAAGATTTATTGTTCAAAGTGATCATGAAATATATGGGGATATTATTAGTAGAATTTAAGTTGGATGGTTGAAGGGAGGGAATGCTTTGGGTTGGTTATGATAGAAAAATATCTCTCAAATTTAAGGGAAATTTGTAAATATAGTGCTGAGATTGGTAATATTTTATGGTGTAGAATGTTGGTTACTAAAAGAGAAGCATAAAATTAAGTTGAGTGTTGTAGAGATGAGGATGCTCATGTGGATGAATTTGAAGGCCCCCAAAGACCCCTCTTGAGCTCCACCCATGCTAGTATTTGAAGCTTTGTTTAAACCAAACATTTGAAATTATCTCCTTTATTTTTTGATAGGGCGTGGCAACACCATACTATTAGTGTTAGAAAATGGTGAATTCCTATGGATGTTGGAAAGGATCACATGGGAGGATTATTGAAGGCTTATAGATACCATAAGTTATATTGAGAAGGATAACAATTTGATCAATCGAGCAATGAGATTTTGGAAGTTATACGAAATAGCTTGAAAATCATAGTCGAGTGATAATATTTGGAGGATTGTGGATGAGCAATAATAGCTTGAAGATCATAGTTAGGAAAAAGTGATCGAAGGACCATAATAGGGCTACAATGGCTTAGAGATGGTATTTTTTGTGATTGTGGTCAGAGTAACATTATTGGGTGATGGCGATCGATGGACCATAGTTGGATGATTGTAGTTAGGAGATTATGGTTGGAGATAGTGATTAGGGTACCATAATTAAGCGATGGTAGCTAGAAGACAATGATTGGGTCAATCATAGTTGAGCAGCTGTGGTTGGTAGACTATATTTTGATCATGATTGTCATAGAGCATTAATAAGGTGATAATAGCTAAATGATGATAGTTAGGTTATCATGGCCATGAGTTTGTAGTGGGTGACAGTGGTTGAATGCTATAGTTGGGTGATGGTGGTAAGTAAATCATAATTAAGGATAGTGCTTGGAGGATCGTAGTTGAGGTATGATGGACGGAGGATAATAATCATGAGATAGTGGCTAGAGGATCATAATCAATTGATGGCCGAATGATTATAATCAAGTGTGATGGTTAGAGGGTTGTAGACAGACAGTGGTGGTTGGAGGATCATAATTGAGCAAGAGTGATATAAAGGATGTAGTTTGATGATAGTGGTTAGAGGATCACAGTTGGGCTACGGTTGCCAAAGGGTCATAGTTAAGTGAGGGTGATCGGTGGATCATAGTCACTTGACATTTCTTGGAGGATTGAAGTTGGGTGATGATAGTCAAAAGATTTTAGTTAAGTGATGACAATTAGAAGATTATGGTCCATTGATGGTCAGATAGCAATAGTTCGACGTTTGGGAATCAATTGGTGGTTTGATAACATTGATTAGGGGGAGGTTTGATGGTGGTAATCAAGCAATAGTCTCATAGAAGCGATTGGATGGTGGTATGATGGAGGTGGTTGGGTAGTTGTTTGATAGTGGCAATCAGGCTGTAGTTTAATGATGGCGATCAGGTAGTGGTTTGATGTCAGTGGTCGGATGATGATTAGGCGATGCCATTCCTGTAACAGTGGTCCAATGACGAAGATAAGTTTTTAAGAACTCAAATAATAATAATAAGTTTTATGATAGTTTATATTAATATATTAGAAAATTTTTAATAAAATATCATGAGTTAATCACCATGATTTGTATGAGCTATAATATAGTAAAATTACTTCATTTAAAGTATGATAAATTTTACTCTTAATTTTTAATATTGTTGAGGTACTTAGAGGCTAAATTAAATAAAGTAATCAACATCAAAGTTTTGGAGAACTTTATTAGCTTTCTAGAACATATAAGATCTTAAAATTTGAATAAAAAAAAGAGAAAGTTATGTTTAAAAGTTTGCATACTGATATGTGATTAATATGTCCAAGTATAAAAATTTGGTTTAATTTTTAAGTATGATCATATATGCCTAATTACATTTTAAATAATTAATAATGATTAATGATAAACAATATTAATTATTGTTGTATCCAGGAGTATTCGCGGCGGTAGAGAAATATAAAGTTTATCGTCTTAGCGTTGTACGAAAATCTGGCACGCAATCAGATAAGGAGAGAGGGTCTAGCATTTATGAGACACCAAGATTTTTACGTGCTCAGTTTGACTGTAAGATCTCTAGAATCGGAGTTCGGGTGCTTCCAAAATTAATTTTTTGAAGTTTCCAACTAGCTTTTGCCTCGAGATTCGTGCCCGATCAAGATAATTTTGTGATGTCGTATCAATTATATAAATTAATTTACACTGTTACTATTACTAAATATCATGATTAATTAGGAGAGAGTATGTCATGTAGTAAGGAACTGGAAAACTTAATGATAAATATAACTGACTAGTTTGAGTGGCAAAGGATGAGATACCACAAAATTAACCATTAAGGAAAATAAGGATTAGTGTTAGAGAAGTTAGGAAAAGATGAAGAGTTAATTTTATTTCAGCAACTTTGTGATGAAAACTTCTTTAGTTAATCTCCAAGGTTTTAATTTTACTTCAACAACAGTGATCCTTATCATGTACGTACTATTTTTATGTAAAGTATAGATTTATTCTAAGTTTATTATTTTTTTAAATAAAATTGCATAATGATTATGCTAAGTTATTGTATATCACACATGAATTAGATATAAATAAGAAATATATTCGATGTGATTAATGATTTAGACATACACACTTTGAAATAAGAATAAAGAATCATAAAAAATACTTACGTTATGACATATTATTTTATGTTAAAAGTGACATGTATTATTTTGCATATGTACTAAAATGTTATTGATATGTCATGAAAAATCGTCCCAAGTACGAATCTCGAATACATGAATCTTGTATGTATAATTTGAGACATAAATGATGAAGAATTCATAAATATGACGTAAAATAATCATGCATAAAAAATATTCATTTAGCTTATGAATGAAATTATATTATTATTCAATGATTTCACATAAATCGAGAAAATGATAAGAAGAGTCTTTTTTCTTCTTTCTTACTATGAATATGATGAACATGCATATATGTTAATTCTTTGAATATAATGAATTATTTGATAGGTTTTATATAATCTATTAAGCTTTATGCTTATCCTTGTTGTATCTACATCTATTAATTTAGGTAAAGAAAATGAGTTGATGGAATAATCATGATATAGTTATAAATATTAGTATTTGTGTGTATTATGTCTTTTTTATAAGAATATGATGATGATGATGATGATGTTAATGTAATAATAAATATATGATATATTATAATTTTTTTAAATTGTACCTCTAAGATTGGTGTAACAAAAAGAAAAAGACTTGTGTGTGTGTGTATTTATGGCTTTAGCATGATTAATTGTACATATTAAATTGATGATCTTGCATTTTCGGGGAAAAAACTTTCATATATATGAATAGAGAAATATATATGTCATGATATTGATGAATGATATTTATGTCTCTCTATTGCGCCTTAATTATACTAGTAAAATTACATGTGCACTTAAAATTTTACAATAAAAATATATATTATTAAATATAAAATTATATTTATTTACTAACATGAATTAATAAGTTTATCAATAAAAATAATTATAATAATGATCATTTTCAATTTTTCATCAATATCAATAATGATCATTTATGTTAATATCAATTCATAATCATTTATGTTAATAGAGTTTTAAAATTAAATTAATATGTTGTGTGCTTGCTGATAGGTTTTCTAAAATTAATAAAAAATATTTAGAAGATAAAAAAATTTCATTTTAATAATAATACATCACACTATTGTAAAGATGCAAAAATCAGCATAGTCGTAATTGGAGTCGCTTGAATTGATGAAAACAAATAAGAGGCAAACAAATTAGTATAAAATTCAAGGCTCAAGTGGTACAAAGTTGTAAGGTAAATTATAATTACAATATAAAAAAATGTAAGAATTGATATTAACGAATTCTTCATATACAAAAAGGAATATTCATAGCTTTTAATACCAAAATTAATACAAAGCTCTGCATTTTCTGAGTCAAAAGAATGACAATTTTCTACACAAAGTTTTCTCAGGAAATTTATTCAAAATCCTATTATTGATATAATGATATGATTATTGAAATAAATTCTCAAGATTTAATTCTAAGAAGCTAATCTGACACAACTAAATACATGATATTTACATTAAATATCTCTAAGCAGAAATTATATTAATGATAACTTTATAATGAAAATATTTGTATGTTATCTCTAGTTATTGATATTATTTAAATTACATATCAATATATCAAAAGCACAAGTTAAACGAAGACAATGCATGCATAAAGCTCTCTCTAATGAAAGTTGTATTAAACCACTCATAAAAATGTTATTATAAATCAATTTTTCATTAAAAAATAAATGAATTTCAAATCTCCTGATAACAAAATATGAATTTTTCACTATAAAAAGTCATAAGATAGA